CTCGCTCGTCAGTCGCACTGGTGTCACTACCTGCACAGTCCTTCATGGTCCAAAAGGTTATTTGTGACATGTGTCGCCAGAGAAAATAAGGGGGCGATTCAAAAAGTAACTGTGTCCAGGATACAACTGTCCCGTTTTGTCTTGAAAATCTATCATCAAAATGTGGCTTATTGTTATATTTCATTCACCGATATACCAGTAAAAACTGGTTTAACGTCGACAACGTTGCGCTAAAATGGTGTCGTGACGTTGTAAGAGAGACAGTTAACGTTGCGTTAACGCCACTCCATATTTTCGAGAGAAGTGAAATTTCAGCTTTTGGGACAGCTTAAATTTTGAAAAACAATAATATGATGAAATAAAAAGAAATTGAAGGATTTTCTATTATTTGGTTCCGGTGAACGAAATCTTTTCGGTATGAAAGTTCATAACAATAATAAATATCATTACTATAAAATTTCAAATATAATATTTCTCCCGTCCACGCTTCAATAATATATATTCATTTATTAAAATAGACATGACCTGACATGACCTGCCCTTACATGTTAGTACTATTATTTTGATGCTGATATTAATGATGGTATTAAATCCCTTTCATGGAATAGGATGTAGGTTAATCAGCTTAAAACGACTGGATTGCCCTTGCCTCGAATTTCGAAGACGCTGGAACAAATGTCAAGATATACTGTAGAAATAGTGGTGTCTACGCCGGCAAAAAAAGATCTCAACAAAACCAATCCCCTGTCCGTCCTAACGTGGTTCTTTCCAAAGAAAAGTCAGTATTGGAGTCGACAGGATTGCAATGATTACGGCGATAAGTCGCAGTTCGACGCTGTCAGCATGGCCGTTGGCTAACGATATCCGTACACGATTAGGTACCATGTAACACATGCAGGTAGCACAACAGAAACAGAATCAGAAACAACAGCAGCAGCATTGTAATGCAGGTAGATAGGTTGAGTGTTTAAGGAAGCATCATTAGTATCATCGTGGCCATGCCTCTCTACATTTTCGTCATGGGAGACGACAGCGGCGTACAACAAGTACGGTGATAACTCCGCTGGTTTTCACTGCTAGTATTTAAGATGCAATAATAAGATCTCTAACTAATAAGCTTCAACTCTGTGGGGCGGTGATTGTAAGCACTACTGGTACTGTGCTTCAGTATAATAACAGTACAAATTTGACTGTCGACCCGACCTCCACTGTCAGAGATTGGGGGTAATCGTATTGTGAGGGATATTGTTGATTGCAATAATTGATTGGTGGCTCAACACAATCTACAATATGATTTAAATATTGATCAGCATGGCCAGTCGACACCGCAAACTCTATGATCCGCCGTTTGAATTGCGTCAATGCCAACCCAAGCGATAGCTGATCTGTCCCTTCGATGATCGTGCCTTCACGCCAAGTCGACACCATAGTAGGATGGGTGCAGTCACATTTTCAACTACCTTAGTTGTTAACTTGACACAAGGCTTATATTCATCATTAAATGCTTCCCTATCCTGCATTTAAGAAGACTGACAAGCATATAGCATGCTGCTTTTGTCTGGGGAGACTTGTATTTACTTTCATCATCGAGAGAAACCGTCACTCGCTTGCTTCAACTAGTACTTATGAGCCTCCGAAGGATTATCTACATAATTCGGAGTTGTACTTTTTCAAAAGTGCACTGGTCTACGGGTTACGCTTGGGTCGGCGTGCACAGCGATCATAAGAAATAAATTACTATGCTCGTGTCGACGGCAGCGTTGATGAACAGTGCACATGCAGCTTTCGACAATCTCCACCTTTGAGATTGTAAATATTGCAATAATTGATTGTCTTGCTGTAAAATGTACAATCAATAAACAATCTTTATTTCGCTCCATTGTAACGGAGTATTTCCTAGTATGCTCGATCGAACTCTCAAAATTGATTTTCGATTTGTCTAAACAAAAAGCGCGTTTGTTCTGGATTAGTTTTGCAGTAGGGAGGGAACGCCATCCATCAAGTTTAGCAAAAAAAATCTACGAAGCAACGTTCAACTTTAACGGAGAAAAGACCTCGAAAACACGCAGACTTTCACATCAGTGCTTCTCCGAGATACAATATGACCAACCACCACAACTGCTCGACCATATTCCCAGTCTCACTACACAACTTGCGTTCTGCCGGACAAGAGCATAGCACCAAGTCATCAAGTACCAAACTGACCAACCGGCCGGTCTCCATGAAATTCACTGCTCTCGTCGCCACCACGCTTGTCGCCGCGGGCGTTGCAGCTGCCACCGACTACCAGCCGGCTCTCAGAGCTCTCGCCGTGTCGGAACCTGCAGCACCCAAGGAGGCCGCTGATGTCAACA